GAGTTGCACATTATTAGTTTTTTTGGGTTATTCCTGAATTAGAAATATTGTACAGGACCCAGAAAATGCTTTAAGGCAGCAGTGCCAAACATGCAGCCTGCAGACTGGATCTGGGCTGCTGGTGTATCATAAGGCTACCAAAAAAGTGTGGGGGGAAGTTTTCCTGAACCCTAGTGGATGTGCCCATCAGCATAGTGCTCACTCGCCTTGCTCATCATCCAGCTGCTGCTTGCCCTACCTGAACTGGTCCTGCCACCATCCCTGACAATGTCCTTGCTGCAGCTGCCACTGATTGATCCCACCATCCCTGCCAGTCCCTATAATACTGCCCTGTGCCTTGGGCTAGATCTGGCCCATGAAGGAACCCTATGGTTTGGATCAAGTCAGGGGCATAGGGCATGTTTGACACCCCTGGTTCAAGGAAACAAAAACATTAATATGCATTTAAATATTCTAGACTTTGTTATTGGAAACGTCAGTTTTTCTCACATAAAACTCACATGGGTGTGGGCATTGTATGCCATGGCAGCAGCAGCTTGGCTGGGGCCTGCTGAATTCCCAGCAGATAAGACTGCTGTCCTCCGCCACGACTTTGTAATGTGGCACCTCTGCCCTGCTCTTGGAACCCATGTGCTTCCCCCGACCCCTTCTGGATCCCTCCCGTTCTCCTACAGTGTTACACTTCTGTTGGGCCAACTCTGCGTGTTACGCCCCTGTTGGGCCGTCCCAGAAGTCCCCTGATGCTGTAGTGTTTGTTCTGTTTACTTTACTCCATAGGTCTTGCTATGCTACATTTTTACTTCCTAGAATATCTGACGCAGCTGATCTTGAGGCTTACCTAATCTCATCTCTTTATTTCATAATAGCAAATTAGGGTTGGAAAGGATCTCAGGATGTCATCTGGTCCAACCCCCTGCTCAAAGCAGGACCATCACCAATTAGATCATCCCAGCCAAGGTTTTGTCTACCTGGGCCTTAAAAACCTCTGAAGATGGAGATTCCACAACCTCTCTGGGTAACCTGTTCCAGTGCTTCACTACCCTCCTAGTGAGTTAGGTTAGATATTAAGAAAAACTAAATTTCCTTTGCTGCAAATTGAGACGGTTGCTCCTTGTTCTGTCATCTGCCATCACTGAGAACAGTCTAGTTCCGTCCTTTTTGCAACCCTCTCTTTGCAGTTGAAGGCTGCTATTAAATCCTCCCTTGGTCTTCTCTTCTCCAGACTACATAAGCCCAGTTCCGTGAGCTTCTCCCCAGAAGTCATTTTCCCCAACCATTTCTGTTGCCTGCTGCTAGGACTCTCCAATTTGTCCATATCCTTTCTGTAAGTGGGGTGGGGGCGGCATAAAACCGGACACAGTACTGCAGATGTGGCACTCCAGTTTGGGCTGTGTTCGACTAGCTCTTGGTTTTCTGTGTCTTCAAACTTAATTCTTACCTCAGGCTTTTCTAGTGCCACCATGTTATATTTGACTGCCTTCACATCTCACGCTTTTTGGAGTTGCTTCACGTGGAGCTTGGTGTTACAAACGCCACTATGACATCTGTTCCAGAAACTCTAGCACTGAGTTGTTATACTGGCCCATCTTTATTTAGCAGGACAAAGTCAGTCATAATCTTGTCAGGCCTGGAAAAGTTGCAGGATTCTAGTCAGCAGTTTGGTGGCAGGAGTGCCATGTGCCTCTTTTACAAAAAAAATTCTAGGCCATAGGCTGGAGAGAATAGCATCAAGCCATTTTTCTCTGCCAACTTGAGCTGTGATTTGGAGGACAGCATATAAGTAGTTTAGAAAAGGCAAGGAGAAGATGTTGGCAAAGCTTGATTTTCCCGCCCCCCCCCGGTGTTAACATGGTGGAGACCAACATTGGTACAGTGGTTTTTGCTCTCTTCTTCAGCAGTAACATTTGACACACAACATTTTGAAGCCAGTTTAGTGCTGAAATAAAAATTATTGTGCATTTTGAACATTTTCATGATTGTTATAACGTCAGTTTTCATACAGCTGCGAAATGTGATTTTTAGATTTTTTTTTTAAAGTCCAGTGCTTACTGAAGGTTTGTATGGGAGGGTAGAATGAAGATAATCTACAAAGAAGAAACTGTGTAACCATCTTTTACATAAATGTATTCTTCCATGTAATCTATTCCCACCTAAATGTGGTGGTGGTATTATTATTATTATTACTACTATTGCTATTATTTATAATATTCACCAACATTTTAACAGAGCCTTGTAAAATGCCGTGTTTTGTATAAATGGAATGGTGTGTAGTGAAAGCTTGGAATATTAATTAGCAAATAATGGTTAATTATACGTAATAAATACTTTCATTAAACATATTTATATTTATGGTGTGGATTTGTGTCTAATATAAAGATATTCACTTTACTTTCATAAACATGTATACTGCAGCTAACCTTCATCCTTCATGAACTAGAGTTAAGGCTGCCTAAGTACATTTCATATAAAAATATTTTTTTGTACATGTGCACGTACTTTATAATCAGCCCAGCATTTACCACAACCTAAATACAGGTATGATTGCACATTTGAGGGGAAGGTTTCTTTAAAAGAAAAGGCATGTGTAGTAAGGCATTGAGATATATAGTAGGATTGCCGAGAGCACAGTGATACATGGACATTAATGGGTGGACATATGTTGAAAAAGGTAGTGGACATGAAGAAGGCACAATGAAGTCTGAAAGGAGGAGAATTCCAAGGTAGGCGAGAAAGCAAGAAAGGATTTCCGGTATAAATGATACAGATTTTGTTGGAGCTCAGTTCTGTTTTTCCCCCAAGTTTCATTTTGGTGAATGAATGGCTACAGTGAGGGAGAGCAGATGGAGTAGGATGAAGGGAGGTATAGGAAGGGTGTAAATGAAGGGAGGTATAGAAATTAGCAAAACAGTTGGGCTGGAGACATAGGCAGTAGAGTTGTGGGAGTCAGTGGAGAGTGGATTGTTTCTGTGCTGGGTTGCCAATCTTTCCATCTTCTCGGCCAGTTTGTTCCGCTTCTGCTCAGGAAAACAAATTTCTTTGGATAAGTCTTAATCTGATGGACTTCAAGAATGACAGGGATGACATTTATACCAAACAGCTGTCCTGTCTCCCTGTTCTCTCTCTAGAGCATACCTGTGTAGTTGGCATTTCAGGCAGATTTGGGTTTCAGATATCCTTCCCTCTTTGAACATTACATGGCCCCTGCTCTTCACAGAGAAAGAGCAGCTTCAAGTCTGGCCCAGCTAAACTGTGAACTTCTCTTCCTTCCCTAGCTGAATCTTTCTCTCAATTACCTCAGTCTTCTTGTAGTGTACAAAGCCTGGCTTCAGGAGTCCTAGGTAGAGGGAACCACAGTTGGATTACTTAGTCAAAATCCACCATTTCATTAGTTTCTGTGGCCAAATCAAACTATGGCAAAGAAATCTATTGTGAGGTTTTTCAGCACTGTTGAAGCCCACTATGAAATATCAAGGCTGTGTTCTTTGGTATTATATTTTAGGGGATAAGGAAAAATGTTAGTTTTAAGTGGTTGTCCAGACCTCTAACTCATGACATTGGATTCTTTTTGAACCACAGTTTCTGCCTGGGCTGCAACTGCACCCCAGGAGTCCTCGTAACCATTGTAAACACGGGCATAAGGGATTGCCTCAATTGCCTTTGAGTTCCTTTTCGTTGCTTGTAATTGCAGGATGGAATACCATAATGTCTGCTTCTCTTCACCTATCAGTTAGAGTTGTTACTGGTTTTCAGTTACCTAGATTTGATAAGATCAATTTTATTTAACCTGTCTAGAAAAATTCCATTACCTAGCTTCGGGATGACCCACCTATGACATGGGCAGCCTCTGTGTATGGCGTGCAGCAGATTGAGGGGGAGATATAGAATGGGGAGAAGAGTGTGAACCAACAGGTCAGGCAGGGGGCAGGGGCAAGGGGGCAGAAGGTAGAGCAGCAGATCAGGCTGGGAGCACAGGGTAGTGAGCAAAAAGCAGAGCGGCAAATCAGATCAGAGAAGCCTCTTCCACATCCTTGAACAATGCAGCACTATGTATTTCAGTCCATAATGTTATGTCACTGGGCATGTCTGCATGTACATTAATGCACTGTAATTACAGCTCATTAAGTTTAGTAACTGTAAGTTTAGTAGCGCTGGCACACATCTTTAAGTGAAGCTAATGTGCAGTAGACTAATTCTACTGGGCATTAGCACAGCTTTTGCCATGATGCACTAATGTGCAGTAGGATTAATCTACTGCACATTTAGCATCTCATGTAGATGCACCCACTATGTCTTTGTACAGGACCCAAGAGAAGATGCAGCATTTGCAATGATAGTTCAATAAATATTTAAGAGGAACTCCCCTTACTTGCCTGTGAACAGCATTTTTTAAATCTGTGTGGTCCTTACAGAATATGGGATTTGCCTTCCATATCCTTTAGTGTTCTCCCTGATCCCTTATTGACAATGGAAGAACAGATAGCTGAACCTATCTCATTACTTAAATTTTTGGCTTTGGTGGTCATGAGGGCACCCAGGCACAGGTATGATCCTAGTGCTATTGAAAAAATCTGTTCTTGTGTACATTAACTAGAGGAGGAGTTTGCATGAAAAGTACAGATTAAAGACTGTGATTTGTCAAAGGTCGGTAACTATTTTAGCTCTGTACACTTTAAAAAAAAAAAAAGAATAAAATGTTTAATATCTGAATAGAAAGCACTAATGATTGGGAAAAAATACTTATAAAAATGAAAGATCATCCTCTCAAATCTGCATGTTTGATTTTAGTATCTTGAATGTCTTAAGCTTTTTTCATGTTTTTTGTATCATTCTTTAATTTAAAACGTCTGAAAGCAAGTCTGATATTTTAGCTGTTCTGGATAATTTAGTTAAGTGTAAAGATTTGAGATTTGTTTTCTTACACAGTCATATATGTTGTATCAACAATACAGGTTGGCTGTGATCTTCAATAACCCTTTACTATTTTTTCTTAATCTTAATAGGAAGACATCTATATGTATGGAGGCAAAATTGAAACAAATAATGGGAATGTTACTGATGAGTTATGGATTTTCAACATACAGAGTCAAACATGGAGTACCAAAACTCCTGCAGTACTAGTGCATGGCCAGCAATATGCTGTGGAGGGTCATTCAGCGCATATAGTAGAGTTGGACAGCAGAGACGTTGTTATGATCATCATTTTTGGATACTCTGCAATATATGGTTACACTAGCATCATACAAGAGTACTACATTAGTAAGTTACTTCTAAATACTTTCTTTTTCCCCTGCTTTGAAACTTTTTTGTTTTTCTGATTTCTAATGAGAACAAAGTTATTGTTTATAGACAGAGAAGCTATTTGGCAAGTAAAAACCCTCTGGTTTAATTCTTGACCTAGAAACCTCCCCCCCCCCCCCCTTTAAAAAAAAAAATATCCCCCTTTCTTTTTCTTG